CCAGAATATTTTGGCACCAAGAAGGAAAATTCCTAGTAGAAGGGGCAATGCACCAGCAGCCAGCTACCGGATGAACCCTAAATCCAGCATGGGTGACAAATGCAGATAGCATGACCCAGGCCAATGGTCACAGACTGAAAAATGACAGAAAGTGATTTCCACAGTGGGCATACTGTACTGGTCAGCACACCCAAGCCTTCTACAGGAGTCTCAGCCATTGTCTCTGGAATACCCTGCGCTTTCACGGCTCATGGTCTGATGGAGCTGACATCTCCACACCTTCCCAACAGGGACGGCAGTTGAGCCTAGCAGTGGTGAGGGCGGGGAGTCAACCTCTCTTCTGCAAAGCCAAAAAGGAGGACAAGACTCAGGGCTGGAGATGCCTCCGTCCATTTGGTGAAGCGACTTACTGAGTAAGCATGAGAACCATTGGATTGCCCACACCCCATGAAAGATCAGGCACGGTGGACAAGCATGGAATCCAGGCACTAGACAGGAGACTTCCGAGGGCCCACTGGCCAGCCATCTAGACAATCAACAAGAGCCAGGTTCAAGAGAGACCCTGTCTCAAAAAAAAAAAAAAAAAAAAGATAGACAGCTATTGAGGGCGTCACCTGATACCTGATAGTAACCTCTAGCTTCCACAAAACACAAGTACATGTATGCATGCATGTACATACTTATATGCACATAAAAAACGAGTCATGCATAAGATGTGGTAATAGCCAAGAAATGGTTAGGCCCAAAGGGATCTTTCAGTTAAATAAACTTCTAATCTCGTTTCCAGAATCAAAAGCATGAGGCCCCCCAGCTGACTTCTACCACATGCTTTCTCTCTACTTCTCCCATTCCTAGCTGCCAGGCAAAACAAAATTCAAATCCTGAGGCCATCCCAGGCTGGCTTCAGGGCAGTGCCACAGCAGAGTCTCAGACATGGACACTCTGAGAACACACGAGACTGGAGGATATTCAGGAAAAACACAGCTTGTCTTTCATCCTGGTTTTCCCATTATAGACGCGCTGTCCTGGGATGGCGTCTGGTGAAAGAGACAGAGGCCTGCTTGGAGAGCCGAGGACACACTCCCCGGGCTTCGGGGGGTCACCAGGACCCTGGAAAGTGACTATTTAGTTGAGTACAAATTCAGGACTGCCCCTGGGTGATAAATTTCTTTCTTCCCCAAAGGAGTAATCCAGGCTGTAACCACCCCCACAACATAAGGAGTATTGTCTCCTTAACTGTGGCTAAAGGGCTCCTCTGAATCACACACACCTGACTAAAGCCAGGGGCATCCTTGTCTCAGTGGGAACTGCCTGCCTAGACCTTAACACTAGCTTCCCAGCCTGACCCAAATAGTGAGTGTGGTGTGTGTGTGTGTTTGTGTGAGTATG